TTGTCAGTATTGTGGAATACATGATCCCATCCTGTGGAGACAGTTGATCTTTTTCCCTCATCAGCCCTAACAGTCTCTTCAGGTCCTGTGTAAGAGAAGCAGCAAGAAGAGTTTCCTGCTCAGTTAGAGGTTGGTTGCTCTTTGTTCTACATCTGAAATGAGTGGTTTCTTCAGCAATAGGTTCTTACCATCCAGTAATGGTCACCACTCATCTTATTGGATGGCACATGGGGACAAGTGTACAAGACTGATCTACTGGGATTCTTGAAGAGACATTTTGCTGTAAAACTATGATAATGATAATTGTCAGGTAATGTACTATATTGGAACAGATAGATAAGTGACTGGCCATAGTGAATTGAAGATGAAGAAAACCATGATATGAAATGTAGACATGTCATTAGAACTGTGAAATGGACAATGGATTAGAACAGAGATACAAGAAAGAAAGATTTTCATTAGAGAGATTATGAACTCTTGCAACTGAAAAACTGAAATGGAATTTGATGCATGTATTTCTGTGCAATATTTGAAAAGGATATTTGGTCAAAATGCAAGCATTTTCTTTTTGATATTGCCAAATTATCTACTAAAATATTGTATGAGTTTATTTCTTTTTCTCTCTCGTAGAAAGTATCAAGATTGCACCATTTAAAAAATTTCAGCTTATTTTACAAGGAAAATAAAAGTCTATTCTTAATAAGCATTGTATTAGTTACTATTTATATTTACTCTATTTTTTCCCCTTGTACTATTGTTCATACATTATACTTTTCAGAAAAGTGGAAGATTCTGGGCTATATTCCCAGATGATCTCACTGCTTGCAGCCAGCTTTTATATGTCATTTCTCCCCAAATATTTTATTACTGTCTTGCTTTCTTGTTTTGTTTGGGATTTGTAGAGAAAAACGTTTTATTATTAACTAGTGAACTTTATTTTTTCCCATTACAAAGCCTTCCACTATCTAAGTCTTAAAGTTACCTCCTATTAATAATTAGATAAAATTATGCCTATGTTCCTCCTGGTTTTATATTTTCTGTTGAGTTGATTTTGTTTGGGCTGTATTTTTGTAGTTGGTTTGCCTGTTTGCTTTGGCATTCAAATCCTCCAGAATTAACTTTGCTCCATAGGCTGAATATCTAAAGTTATTATTCATCAAGTGAACAACCATTATTATCGTCACTATGTTCACATTATTTTAAAAAATGATAGTAACACTGACCTTTATATTTTCCTCTTTTTATTTTTTGAGACTACCCTTTAAAATTTTTCAGCTTGTTTCATTAGGAAAGCAAAACGTGTTTGAATTACATTTCCCCTTTCCTCCCCTTCATAACCTCCTACATGTCCCTCCTTGCTCTCCTTCAAATTCATGGCCTCTTTTTTGTCCACTGTTACAGCACGTATATATTTGTATATACATCTATATTCCTAAACATAACCTGTTGACTTTGTGTAATATTACTTGTGTGTATGTTTTCAGAACTGACAATTTGGCATTAGAAAACCAATTGGTGTGCGCTTCCATTGGGAAGGCCACCTATCCTAGACACTTTATTCAGTAGCCTATTGTTCTTTGTCCAGGCTGAGTCCTAGTGGACTTTTCCAAGTGCAGTTTCCAATGGCTGTAGATGTCAACTTGTTCTGCTCATGTTTGGGTGCTAATGTTGGTGAAACTTTATTGTATAGCTTCTAATGTCACTATACACAATCCCAGCAATGCCTCTGGTCCTCTGGCTCTTACAATCTTTTCAAACCATCTTCCACAATGTTGCCAGAGCCTTAGGTGCAGGAATGTTTTGTAGATGTATTCATTGGAACTAGGCCCAACAACTTTACATTTTGATCAGTAGTGGTTTTTTTTTGTAGTGGTCTCTATCTGTTGCAAAGAGAAATTTCCTTAATGAGGGGTAAAGACAACATTTACCTGTAGGTATAAGGGCCAAAGTTTATAGATTGTTGTTAGGGATTATGCTGGTTTAGTAAATCAGTGTTTATAGATTCTCCTCCAATAATCATGATTACACTAGCACTAAGCAGTTAGCTCCATTTCCAATACCAGGAGGCATTGTATCCTTGTTGAAAGGATATTAAATGCATTAGAGTGCTGTTGGTTACCAACAAGGTATGTGTGCCACTACTGTCTCCACAGGGTAATTGTGCCATCGGTCATTGATGTGGTTCATAGGTGTCCTATCTGGGTAGGATTGTTGTTTGACTCCATCCTTTGGATACTTGCATGGTACCTATTCTGCTACCATGAAAGCTAGACCTCAGAGAGGAGGCACTGAGATCAGTTTCAGCTCAGAGGCCTCTGGGCCCTATTTCTGAAGTATGTGGTATCTTCACAATAGGGACTTAGCTTTCACCTCTGGGAGGTATACAAGGGCAACAGCAGTTGGCTGTTCATTTGGGGGAGTTTCTTAGACATACCAGTGTAGCTAGAGTTTTTCTCTCCGGGTCCCACCAAGCCCCCGCAGTCCCACTTATAAAATAAATATACAGATGCTTATATTATTTAAACTGCTCAGCCATTAGCTCAGACCTACCATTGTCTAGCTCTTACTCTTATACTCAGCCCATTTCTGTTAATCTATATGTTGCCACGTATTCTGTGGCTTTACCTGCTGCCTTTACATGATGCTCCCTGGATGGCAGGCTGGCGTCTCCTCCTCTCCACCTTCCTGTTCTCTCAATTCTCCTCTCTGCTAGTCCTGCCTATACTTCCTGCCTTGCTATTGGCCAATCGATGTTTTATCAATCAATCATCCACAGCATCCCATCCAACAACTCTAAGGAGGGCTTCTCATGTACTATATTGGGGTTTTTGTTAGATAGTTTTTGGATCTTGGACAAGGTGTCATCTCCCCAGATGAGAAAAGTTCCTTAAAGCTATACATGTATACTCATATCCTGAATTACATGTATTATACATTGTTTGCTTGTTTTTGGCAAACAGTTAACAGTATGATTCCTGTGTTTTTTTTCAGCCACCTATACTTTTATTTTACCTCAGTCCATCCACATCCTGTATTTAACTCCCCTTCTCTAAGGAGGCCCCCTTTCCCTATTTCCCCATCAGATCCATTAGATCCTGCTATTCTCCTTTACCCTTCTCCCACATCCTTCTGTATTAACCCCTCTCTCCTCACTATGGAGTCCCCATTTTACCATTTCTCCTATCCTATTACTCTTCTGTCCTGTTGATCTATTTTCACTGTTATAGTTCAATGACTGAGATGTCACAGCAAATGAATCTAGTTAAGTCATAGCCAAACAAGCATTTTCTTACACTTGGAATTTGTTTTTTTTCTCTTTTTTTAATTAAGAAATTTTTTTCATTCATTTTACACACCAATCAAAGATCCCCCTCTTCCCTTCTCCCACTCCCATAGTCTCTCCGCAACCCACTCCCTACTCCCCTCCCCACAAGAAGGCAAGGCCTCCTATGACAAAGCACATCCAAATCCTTCCCCCTGCCTCAAGGCTGCACAAGATGTCCCATCAAAGGTAGTTGGCTCCAAAAAGCCTTCTCATACACCAGGGTTGGATTCTGATTCTACTGCCAGGGGCCCTTCAAGCCAATCAAGCTACACAATTGTCTCACCATGCAGAGGGCCTATCTAGTCCCATGCAGGCTCCACAGCCATTGATCCAACTTTCATAAGTTTCCACTAGTTTGGTTTGGTCATATCTGCATGTTTCCCCATCATGATCCTGATGCACTTGCTCACATAATCTCTCCCGCTCTCTCTCTCCAACTGGACCCCTAGATGATATGTACCCACTCCTAAGTGGATACTAAAAGTAAAGCAAAGGATAATCAGACAACAACCCACAACTCCAGAAAAGCTAGCTTACAAGGAAGACCCAGAGGGATGCATGGACTGCCCTGGGAAGGGGAAATAGATGAGATCTCCATGAGTGAATGGGGGGTGAGAGCTGGGCAATGGAGGGTTAGAGATGGGGGATGAGAACATAACGGAATAGGATGGTCGAGCTGGAACAGGGATGGAGTGGGAAAGCAATGAGAGAATTATCATGGTGGAGGGAAATATCATGGGGATAGAGAGAAACCCATTGCTAGGGAAGTAGCCAGGAATCCCCAAGGATGACCCTAACTTGGACTACTAGAAATAGTGGAGAGGGTGCCTGAACTGAACTGGCTTGCCCAAGGGATCAGATCAGTGAATACTCTGTCATCACAGAGCTTTTCTCCAATGACTGATGGAGGCAGATGCAGAGATCCACAGCCAGACACCAGACATTTGGAATTCTTTAGTAATTTTCATTCTATATGTTCTTCCAGAAGAATTTTAGAATTTTTGTCATAATCGCATCCAAAATCCTTGAAGTTATAGACCTACATCAAAATTGAGAAGTGACTTTGGAAGAAATTATATGTTTAAGTAGATTTAGAGTATTAAATTCTATACTAGGATAACTAATCTCCTTTAGACTATGGATACTCTTCCTTTTTGTAAATACTTTTCTATTTCCAACATATGGACCATTATTATGGTCTTTTCTTTGCAATGCTAGGTGTAACTCTTACTGGTTAGGATGAAGTTTTATTTTAATCTCTCATATTAGTATGTATATCATTTTAATGGCATTAACTGAAATTTCAAATGTATTTTTAACCATACTATGATTTGATTAATGTTATAGGTGTCATTGAACTCTTAGACCCAAGAAAGCAAGTGGATATTTTTTTTTCTCCATCTCAGAGCAAAAATGCCTGCCTGGTCCCTAGACAATATTCAATAATATTTTATTGAATTTGCATGAAAGATTTTGATTTATTAATATAGGATAACTATATTTTAAGTTGGGAAATTTGGCAATATAGAAAAATGAAGTTGTTTTATCTATCTCCAATTAACAATTTTTTTTTTAATTTTAAAGCAAGTGTACTATGGTATCTCTGTGTTGGTGCCAGATGCTTAGAATCACAAGTGAGAAATATCTTTGAAACTAATTGCTAGAGCCATTTCACACTCATAGGCACCTTCAATCCACTTTTTCAATCACATTTTAATATAAAGATTACAGACCCAAATATTGAACTTCAAGATATGGCTTAGCAATTAGGATTGCATACTGCTCTTGCAGAGGATCTGAGTTCAGTTTCCAGCACCTACGTCAGGTATCTAATGATGCCTCTGACCTATGTGTACACCAGCACTTATGGGCACATACCCCCCCCAAAGACATGCACACATAACTAAATATAAATATAAATATAATTTTTAAAAGGTCTTAAAATAAATCTAGATATTTTTAAAGCCTTTTCTCACACTCCATATATTTATGTGACTTTTTAAGTGATCATTATTTACTATGATATTGTACTTTCATTGTAAGATTTTGATAGTGTGGAGAAACATGGAAATTTTAAAGATGAAGGGAAAAGATATAAGGTTATACATCCAGACAAAGCCCAAACTCAGCTGTTGAGCTGAGTGTGGTCTGAGACCTGATACAGCTCAATACCGCCTCTGAAGCAAGCTATACAGCTAGTCACCTGGCAAATGTGTTCTTGAGTCTATGTTAGTAATGAAAAGATTTATTTATCTGCTGCCACTAGAAAATTACAAACTTACTGTAGCAGAGGCCAATGCTAAGCCTTCAGTGCAGAACAATTTCCTAAGGAGCCCATCCAGCCAAGTGGGAGATTTACTACATCATTGAAACTCAATAAATGATTTAACCTTAAGAACATGGAAACTTTTCAGGGAAGGAAATGCATAAGAGATCAGAAAATAGAGCCAGTTCCCATTAGGAAATTTTCATAAGAATTGTCCAGGAATCCCAAACTGTCACCCTGGAAGTACTGTAATTTAGTACCATAGAGCTACAGTTCAGTACCGTATGACCTGAGACTTTGACCAGGACTGAATTTAAATTAACCAGAATTAATTGTATTTGCCTGACCCTGGTTTTTATGGCCCATATTTGCATGGCTTTATTTGTATGGCAGAAGTTATACACCTGGAATTTAGTTATATAATAGCTCATACTAACCTCCCAGAACTGTACATGGACCAATATGGATTGCCCTCTTTTAAAACTTGTAAAATTTATGTCCAGAAACTTCACACAAAAATATTCACCCTAACCATAAAATACTTATTTATAATAAACGTTGCACAGTCCATTGGCTTTTGGATTGTTAATGCTCTACTGCCCAGCCTGCAGTGTACTCAATAAAGTCATTTCCTATTCTAACCCAAAAGGTGAATTTGTCTACTGCCTGCTAATATCACCATATGTATTTCCTTTCTTTAGCCACACTAATTTAGAACATATATCTGATCATTTTATCAGCCATCATGGTCAATAAAGGAAGTGGGTCAATTGGTGCATGCTTATAATGTCCAATCATTTTATTATCTACACCAGAGCCATTGCAGGCAGCCTACAGAACAGTGAAAAAATCTAGGCAAGCCACTGATAATGTGTTAGATCAGGAATGAGACTGTCCTGTATTAGATACAGCAAACCTATCACTATGCTGATATATCTCTAGTGGATGGGGAAAATGCTACCAGAACCCAAGGAGTAAAATTGGTACTGCTTCTCATCTCCATCATCCCTAATGATCCACTTAAAGAATTTTGCTTTCTTTTACCCAAATTTTATACTGAAGACATAATCTTAATGGGAAAGTGCTTCTAGTAGGGATACTGTAAGGACTTTCCTGAACTTGAAGCCATAACTACAATCTGGTCACTTTGTTCTTCTAATATCTGTGAGGCATCATGCAGAGAAAGTTACATTAGGGACAATTGATGCTGATTACCATAATGGCTGGAAGCTGCTGCCACAAATTGGAACAAAGCAAGATTATCTAAAGTCCTGGGAGTTAACTTAGGTGCCAATTTATTTTCTCTGTCCAGTGATGAATCAGCAATTGTTTGCAACAAGTCCTTGCAAAGGCACAGTAATTAAGGGCTCAGATCATTTGGGAATACAGATCTAGGTCACCCCCCTAGACAAATTACAAAGACCAATTAAAGTGCTCACCAAAGAGGAATGTCTGTTTTTAGAATGGTGGCAGAGGAAGTAACAGTGAATATACTCAGTGATAGTTATAACCATGGGGTTCTGGGCTTGTTTTAGTTTCCCTAATCCTCTCACGTTGTCTTTGCTATGATTATGACTGCCAACCAAGTGGAAGGAGACTCTGCAATTGATTGGGCTTAAACAAGAGCACAAATGGACAAGAGTGCTACAAAAGGTGAAACACAGCAATCATCTGAGCACTGTTAGGAAATATCTCAGATGCCATTTTTATTTCAGCTGTGTTTGCTTCAGCTAATTGGACACTGCTTCCAAAGAGCTTCATGCATTTACAAATGGAATCATCAGGCTCAAATTAGTTTAACTCTTGCCACCATGCTTGCTGCTACTGTTGGAAGCCAAGAAGGAGGTCACTTACGTGCATCACCTGATGCCTAAACGTACACAGATTCAAAATATGAAGCAGTTATCAACCCACAGGGAAAAATGTAACAAAAGGAAATAGATCTGAGATATATTACTATCCTTTTGTGTGGTCATTTGAGATCAACCGAGAAGCCAGGAACACATTTATGAGCCACTCTTGTGTTTCCCTCCCGCCTCATTCACCTGGTCCTCCCTCTGTGACATGCTCTTATGTGAGTTTTTGTCTTGGGCTCCATTTGCTGTGGAGTGCACAGTGAGAACATTTCCATTAGACCCAAATCAAATGCTAGGTAATTCAGGAATGTACCTGGCTTTATAGGCAACCGTGGTCTAAGGTATAATCTTCCTATCTTCTAACAACAACAACAATAATATCCTGTACTTTGTTCATTGGCTCTTTTCTCAGTGAGGATCATAAATTGATTACTAAAGCAAGGAGGGAGCTTAGATACTAATTCTGGTAATCCTGACTTTTTAATATCAAATATTCATTATTAGCAAATCGAAATCAGCAATAATTATATATTTAATATATATGGTATATAAAATATATCTTTATAAGAAATGGAAACTTGAAATATTCTGTCAGCAAGTAATACCATCTCCTGTAAGAAGCCTTCTATTTTCCCTGGTTACCTTGAAAGGCTATTTATAGACTTCACTATCACAAAATTGGAGTATTCCTCTTCCTGCTTTTAAGGATGAGAACAACAAAGCCAGGAAAGATTAAGTTACATGTCTAATCTTGCAAGCTCTTTTATAGCAAGCATTTAAATTATAATTAGAAAAATTTAAATTATATCTAGAAAACCAAGTAATTACGTTTCAGGAAAATTTAAGCACAGATGCATAGAGGAAACTGGGAATTTTCAACAAGGCCTCCTGAGAGCCCTTCTAATACTACATTCCTACAGCTCTATATAATCATCATATCCGATGAATTAATTACAGCACATGATATTTTCCCAATGTAATACAGATGGCTTTATATAATTTCAAAGAATAGCTAAGGATGATTCATTGCTGTTTTAAAGGCACCACTGCCACTATTTGCCAGAAAATCTCTAGATAGAGGCTTAAAACTTCTGTCTATCAAAAACACATCACCGATCTAATGGGTAATCTCTTTGTACCTGTAAAAGTTCATGTCAAATGAAATTTGACGAGCTAGACCAAGCTATAGAAACTGAGTGCAATGGATATGCTTGTGCTTTAGGATCTGAGAGTATATCATAAAGTATCTGCCATTATGGTTTACAGTTGAATACTAGTACTCACTTATTTTCAGTAGTACAGATTGAACACAGGACATTGTGTATGCTAGATAAGTGCTCTACCATTGATCTAAATCCTCAGTCATGCTGACCTTGAACTTGTGATCTTCCTGCATTTGCTCCCCAAGTGCTAAGGTTATAGATTCAAAACTCATTTTTGGATGTCCTAAAAACAGTATCTGAGGAACAACTAGTGGGAATGTGGCACAATATAACAATTCACTAAAAAGGGCAATATTTGATTCTCTTCCATATTTTGATTCTCTTCCATAGCTTCCCTGATACACAGCTGAACTCTCTCTAAACTGACCTACTAGCTAAATTAAGTACCGGGTCACCTGTTGTTTGAGCACAAGTAATCCTTCCTATTTGCTGTATTTTTTTTTTTTTTTGAAAGGCAAGACAAAGTTTTACTTTTAAATGATTACAAGCACACCAAATAACATGTAACATATTCTTGAGTCCTAGTATCTAGTAATTTGGGTTAAGGTACACCAACAGCAGCCTGAACAAGCATATCCACTGTCCTAAATTAGCCAGAATGGACGACTGTAAGGCTGGCTGCTGCTTCATAGGAGTTACAAATGCTATTTACTACTTTTTCATAGATAACGCCCCTGACTCTTTAAGAAAGTGGAAGGGAACAATTTATTCCCTTTCTTTCTTCAAAGAATTTTTTTTCCTACTAGACATTAATAATAAGAAGAAAAATCAACAGTGATACCTGCTGCTTGTACAAACACACAGGAAACATATACTCCTTAAAGACACACAAGGTAAAAAGATGGAACTTCAGGTACTTACTAAGATATACAAAAAGCTAGATTTGATACTCTCAACAAGTGAAGGGATCTACAACAGCATAGTGAATTTTAATGCCTTCCCGAACAGAACTCGAGCTCTGGGAGGTTTTCCTACTCTTTTCGGGCATCTCCCATGCCAACCCACAAGGCAGGTGCTTCCACCTCCCATCCGTTTATGCGGTAGTTTTCATGGATTTCTGGCCGGATGTCACACACAAAGGCCAAGGGGTTATCCAGGACTTCATCCCTGTTCTGATGGAAGTAGTTCTGGAGGACAGTCATCTTCTCCTGGGTCTCCTTCTCCACCTCACTGCTACAACTGCCATGGGATCCCAGTGCCGCAGCTTCCTTGGCCTTGAACTCCTCCCTCTGCAGGCGGTACTGTTCAATCTCAGCCTGGGCTTCTTCTTTGGCCTGCTTCAGCCTCCGATTCTTTCGCTTGCCGGCCTCGGACACCTTCTCGGCCGCCCGCTTCTCAGCCTGCAGCAGCTGCTGGATGCCCTGCAACTGACTCGCCATCGCTGCGGGAACTCTGGGCCGAAAGAACGGCCTAAATCAACGGCTGCAACACTCGAAGGAGGCCCTGGGGGTCAGGTGACCCCCTCTTTGCTGTATTTGCTTTTGCTGTAGTATCATTAATTCAATTATAAAATTCTTATTGAACACAATACACAGTACATTCCAGCTAGACAGTAAAGATATAAAGCTATTATGTGCAAATAAATACATTGGTTAATTCTATATACTATTTGAACCTCATATAAAGAAGAAATCACTTTCCAGGCAGTCCTATATGAAAGGTGGAGATGGTATGTCACAACTAAATCATGAAATCTGGCATTCACATCTTTGAGGGAGGTAGGGTCAATGAGGCCGTATAGACAATCAAGGCCAAGTCACAGGACAATCTGTAAGAGTAAAGCGCAAAGTTTAGAAAGGACAACAATGTGTTGAGATTAGTCAATGAATAGGTAGTTACACAGGTTAATTATTAGAGCAATTTCTGTAAATTAGACAAAAGTGCTTCGGATTTCCCCATAAAATTCTGCTATAGCACGGCAAATGGTACCTCCCAATATTGTCTGAGTGTTCTTTCTATTGCTATGATAAACACTATTAGCAAATGAACTTGAGAAAGAGAGAGTTCATTTCAACTAACAGTTGTAGTCCCTCATGAAGGGAAGCGAGAACAGGAATTCAAAGCAGGAAAATGCACGCAAGAACTGAAGCAGAGGGTGTAGACAAACACTG